TTCTCTGCATTGTCAAGATCCTTCTCCAACTTCTTGATGGAGAGGGATTGAGCTTCAGCAGTGGCGCAGAGGGCCATGGTGTGGTATAGACTCTGTTTAATAGGGAAGCAAATATAAGCATAAAGAGAAACATAAGCAAGCAAGAGTAACTTAATGCTGAAGGAGCAATGCGAACCTCTATGGCCCGGACTGGGGCAGAGGGGAGTAGTTGCTCCAACCCCATTTGGCTGATGGCTTCCTCGTCCTTTGGGAGCCACATTCCTCGAGCCACTGCCAGTGCAGCTGAAGGGTCTGTAATCACAGAATCCCCTGAGTGCAGGACTGACCTGTCAGCCCTGGTGAAGGAAGGAGTCCAAGGAGCCCCAGTCTCAGCCAAGACAAAGGCCCTGACTTCATCTTCAAGTTCGGCGTCTCCAGCCTTTTTCCCTCTGCTTTTAGAAGGGACCTTGCCCTTGCCAGAGGATGAGGGGTTGAGGCGAGATTTCTTCAATGGTGGTTCCTCAATCTCCACTTCATTCTCAGTTGATCCAATGACGACCAAGGGTTGGGCATCTTCGGCTTTCTTTTTTAAAGCCTCAGCCCTCTGTATCTCCTCCTCAGTCATGGGGAAACTGTCAAAGGATGGTAGAGACAGATCCATGAGGTCTGCAGCAACGGCACTGGAGGCAATGTCCTTGAGGTTTGAAGAAGTTAGCAGGTCCTCGATAGGCGAGGGGTCACTCCAGACTCGTTCCTCAAGAAAAGAAAGTCTGTTCCTTGCTGCGGAGGATGGGAATGTAGCTGAAAAAACACCAAGAAACTCATAAATACGACGAAATATTAAGACTTGGCAAGGAAAACAGCCAGAACACTTGGTATGAAGGGAGGTTAAATATTCTATACCTAATTTCCCGAATTTGCGCGGGATAGGGAGCGCAATTGATTGGGACACGAACCATTTTCCTTTAACTACAACCATCCTTTCTTTCCATTTCTTTTCGGATGAAGGGAGGTTCGTGCATATCCTCTGATGAAGGGGAGAAGTAAAAAACGAAGCGACCAGGCTCGGTCCCATGCTTAGATATATTGTAAGTAAGCAGAAGGTCGGCAAGGGTCAAATCTAGAGCCTCTAATTTCTGGCGCACCAACAGTGCCGAAAGGATGCGAAAGAAATTAGGATTTACCTGAAGGGGGGCGAGACCTAGCTTATTGAAAACTAAATGATAAAAGGGATGAAGAGGGAATCGGAGGGTGTTAAGGTGCCCTACCGAAAGAAGCAACTCATCCTCCTCAATTCCCTCGCCGGAGGTGAAATCGGCACCCTCGGGATATTCTGCAATTTCTACTCCCTCAGGAATATCAAATTCTTCCATTACCGAAGCAATAGAGAACTTGATGCGGCGAATAGAGATGATTGCTTTCTTCTCTTCATGGGTAAGAACATAATCAGAGCCTGAGGTGGATGTTTCGGTTAGGAGAGGGGAAGTACCTAATGGATTCAACGAAGGGCGATCTGTAGAAACCCTAGGAGGGGGAGCCCTAATGCGAACGGGGGAAGATGAAGGTGTGGATTCAGAATCCCCAAGGTTTGCACGTTCGGGAGTAGATGAAGTACTCATAATGAAATATTGAAGAGAAAGATGCGAGACTAACCTGACAAAGCGAAGGAAGCGATGGAATGAAGGACGCAGAAATGCAGCAAGGGCAAATGTAACTCTTGCAAAATCTTGTGTGACGGAGTAATAACGAAAGACCACGAACCGGTTCTGAAGCGAAGTAAAAACCGGTTTCAATTCCCTCTTTAATAGGAGCCGTCACTCAATTAAAAATGGAATTTGGGGCAAAGTGTGGAGGGAAAAAAACTCCCTCCAATAAAAAGCGCACACGTCACCACTACCCATATCTACATTCCAAGGACATATAAGGCCCATCATGCTCAAGCCCAAATTGAGGGTATTTACAGCCCAAGACCATTGTTATTTATCCTCCAACTTCCATCAAGGCCGAATCAAGAAGTCATCAACACAGCTTGTCGTCAGCCCAGCGTATGAGTATTTAACATCCGGCCTGTTACCCAAGCCCAGCCGGATCAAAATATATTCAGCCCAAGAATGCACAAATCCTACCATTTGAAGGATTTACTGTAGAAGGAAAATTCGGATAGGAAGTTCTGTACAAGGCAATTTCTATGTATGGAAGATTCGACAATGGAAAGAACTCTATTAGAAAAGAATGGTTATATAGAAAGAATTGGAGGGCAAGCAACGCGAGTCCTACCATAATTTTGCAATCTTTTGTATATAAATAGAGGCTAAGACCTCCAATAAAGGATCAAGCAATTCTACGTTTCTCTACACACTGTTCTTATTTATTTTTATTGTTTTTGAGTGAGTTGTTTTATTTTTCTCAATCATTATTGGTTGGGCAAAATTTTGCACCTACAAGGAGGTTAGTTCATCTCCATTCCCCTCCTTCAATTTTTTTTGTCAAAAACAAAAAATGCAGGCAACAGAGTGGAAAAAGATAGATGTTTGTTAGGATCCTATGATTTATTTGAGGTACCGTCCGTTGGAAATCCTGATGGATTAGCTCTCCTTTATTCTAAGGAGTGGGATATTTCGATTCTTGATTTTACAAACTTCCAAATCTCTTGTAAGGTTATAGGAGGTAAGGGCAATAGTCCTTGGTTTTTTACTGGGGTGTATGGTTCTTATTCAGATAAAGATCGTGCTACCAATGGAGCTATATCCAGAGCTTACAATTTCAATTTAGTCCCCAATGGATTTTAATGTGGGATTTTAATGCATTGCTTCACAGAGATGAAAAATGAGGAGGTCGTTCTAAACAGGGCTGGATGCTCAAGGAGTTTAAACAATTTATTGATGACTGCAATCTATTGGATCTCCGTTTTAAGGGCTTCCCATTCACATGGCGTAATCAGCGGGAACCGGGTAAGCTGATTCTTACACGTTTGGATAGAGCTTTATGTACTCCCCAATTGTCCCAATTATTCCCGAGATGTATGCTCCATCACCTTACAGTTCAGGGTTCAGATTATAATGCCATTTAACTGTGTCTTAATGATTCCCTCTCTCATTCTACAAGAAAATTTCACTTTGATGCTCGTTGGATTCACGACGATGAATTTTCCTCTATTATTGAAAAAGCTTGGGATGTCCCATTCCCTGGTTCTCCGCTTCAAGGCATCCACCACAAACTTGCCCAATGTAAATTTAATCTCAAGCTATGGAGAAAGGGGAAGAGTAATAATGCCAGTGTTCAAATTAAAGTTCTGGAGGGGAAATTGAAGAAACTCAAAGAACAGGAGTTTGGCTTCGATAGAGGTGCGTGTTTTATTTTAGAACAAGAATTGGGTACGGCTTGGCGGAACGAAGAACTTTACTGGCTTCAAAAATCTCGAATTGCATGGTTGAAGCATGGAGATAAAAATACAAATTTCTTCCACAGGAAAGCTCAAATTCGACGCAGGAAGAACGCGATTATTTGGTTGGAAGATTCAAGTGGTCAATGGAAAGAGTCTAAAGATGAGATTCGCAGGGTTGCTGAAGACTACTTTCAATTACTCTTCACTTTTACTTCTCCCCAAGATGATCCTGAGTTTTGGAACTTAGTCAGGCCTAAAGTTTCGTAGGCGATGAACTTTGAGTTGCTGAAAGTGGGTACAACTGATGAACTTTGGATTGCTCTTTCTAGCATGGGACCGTATAAAGCCCCTGGATTGGATGGTTTCACCCCACTCTTTTTCCAATCTAATTGGACCTTGCTTAAAGTCGATCTTGTTAGAGGTTTCAACTCCTTCCTTCAAGGTGGTACCCTTTCAGGAAGCCTTAATTTCACCAATCTCGTCCTCATCCCGAAAGTCTCACATCCAACTATAATGTCAAACTTTAGACCAATTGCGTTGTGTAATGTGGCCTACAAACTTTACTCAAAAGCGTTGGCTAATCGACTCAAGCCTTTTCTTCCTTCGCTTATAAGTGAAGCCCAGAGTGCTTTCGTGCCCCATCGACTTATTCACGACAATATTGTGCTGGCTCATGATTTGTTACACGTCCTCAAAGCCAAAAAGAAAGGCACTTCATGTTTTATTGCTCTTAAACTTGATATGGCTAAGGCCTATGATCGGGTTAATTGGTCGTTTCTTTGTAAATTTATGAGTCATTTGGGATTGATGGGTGGATTTAATGATGGAATGCATCAGTACAGTGTCTTACTTAGTCTTGATAAATGGGGAATGTGGCGACAACTTTTATCCTTCGAGAGGGCTTCGTCAAGGTGATCCCATTTCTCCTTATTTATTTCTTCTTTGTACCGAGGGTTTATCCATGTTGTTTTAGGAGTATGAGCGCCGGAAAAAACTTCATGGTCTTAAAATGGGCAGGGGTTGCCCTCCCATCTCCCATCTACTTTTTGCGGATGATGCTCTCTTGTTTTGTAAGGCAAAGGATCCTGATGTTCGTAGTGTCAAGACTATACTTGATCGGTATGCGGCCTTAACCGGACAACTTATTAACTTGGACAAATCCTGCTTGTTTTTTTTCCCAACTCTTCCTCAGTCCAAAAATCTTATTGCAGTCAGACTGTGGGTATTTATAATGTGGATTGGTGCAATCGATACCTTGGTCTTCCTTCTTTTTTGGATAAATCTAAAGTTGCTGTGTTTAATTTCCTATCTGAAAGGGTTTCCTCTAAAACCAAGACGCTCAAAGGCAACTTGGTCTCTCAAGTTGGGAGGGAAGTGATGGTGAAGGCGGTCCTTTTTGCTATCCCAACTTTCTCAATGCGTTGTTTTAAACTCCCACAGAAGAATTGTGAGAAGTTGACTAGTAGTTTGCGCAACTTTTGGTGGAGTGGAGAAGAGAAATCTCATAAAATTAATTGGATCAGCTGGGACACCCTGTGCCTTTCTAAAGATAACGGGGGTTTAGGTTTCAAAAATCTTGCAGCTTGCAATATGGCTCTTCTTGCGAAACTTGCATGGCGAATGGAAATTAGAGTTGATTCCTTGTTATTTCGCTCTTTCAAAAGGAAGTATTTTAACAACTGTAATTTTGTGGATGCCTCTCAGAAGACTGGAGCTTCCTGTGTCTGGCGGAGTATTCTTTCGGCTCGGGAGGTTATTTTGAGAGGTATGAAATGACGTATTGGTGATGGTTCGTTAATTAAATGTTGGACGGATAATTGGCTTTTTGCGACTTCTAATTTTTCTGTCACATCCAAGCCTTCTGCCTCCAAAATTTCTTTAGTGGCTGAGCTTATAAACCATTCCACCCACAAGTGGAATACTGCCAAGGTGTGCCACTTTTTCAATCAACGGGACCGTAAACTTATTCTTCAGATGCCTCTAAGTTCTTTTGGCGGTCCTGATTGTAAGGTATGGGGCGCTTCTTCAAATGGAAAGTTTTCCGTCAAGAGTGCTTATTATGTTGCTTTATCAGTCCTTAACGTCAAGTCCAGTCTAGTTCCAGATGTTGGGTGTAGCTTTGATGCCAACAAAAATATCATGTGGAAGCAAGTGTGGTCGATTCGTGCTCATTCGAAAATCCAATTATTTTTGTGGCCATGTCTTCATGACCGAATCCCAGTAAACAACAATCTTTTTTTGCATGGGAGTTCAACAGTTTCTTCTTGCCCTTTTTGTGATTGTTCCGTCGAGACGGTTGATCATCTTTTATGTATCTGCCCATTCGCTTGTCTGGTTTGGAAGCTAAGTCCTCTTCTGATGGACTTTAGTGGTCTTTCTCCTTCCTTTTGGCCAAAGCGTTGGGTTGATCTTTGTGCTGACTGGAATTTGACTGAGGTCCCGTTGGATTGTTGTAGCATGGCGGCTTTTATTTGTTGGACAATTTGGAAGTGTCGTAATGATCTTGTCTTCAATCAGAAAAATTGGGATCCATTCGATGCGGCACATGGAGCATTTACTGACTATTAGGAATTTCGTGCAATTTCTACACAATAGGTCTTGCTTTCTCCTTCTTATCCTCCTCCTGTTCCTTTGTCAAAAAAATGGTCTGTGCCGAAGTTGGGTTTTCTTGTTGGAAAAGTAAACTCTCAACAAAGCTATAAAGTTTGACAAGATGTATTAATAAAATAAGTGGTTGTAACATTAAAATAGCAACAAATGAATAAGATTTGTGTCAGTGATACATCTTATCAACATAGCAAATACGTATATTTTTTTATCATCCAGTGAACTATATCTACGGTGAGGAACATTTTGACAAAATGTATCAGTAAAAAATTAAGTTGTAAACAAAATAAAACAGACTACCCTTACACGGCTGTGGAGAGAATATATCTTTTCACCAATAAAAAGACGACACATCATTACATTGGATCACTATAATCACAAATACTATTCAACTTCTAAATTGAGCCATGGTACTTAGTAAGAAGAGACAAATTTTCTTATTTAATACTTTATTCTTATACTATTTTTAATTTTTATTTACTCCCAAGAAATAGGATATTAGAGGGTTAAAAAGCCTAAAATCTTGCTCATCATGATAATATAATTTTTTTAATAATATTATTCATAAAATTATTGATTGCAATTATATATTAAGATAATTATCTGAAAAAAAAAAATAAAAACTATATATTAAGAGTATTAGTGGAATATGTAGCAAACTTAACATTAATGTTAATTGAATGAAAAGACGAACCAGAATCAGCACAGCAACCAAATAAGCCGATCATAGTTACATATATGGACTAGGTAAATGCAATGTACTAGAGAGAGAGAGAGAGAGAGAGAGAGAGAGAAAGAAAGAGATGTGGATTTTCATTACAGTGACTATGATTAGACTTGGGTTTACGAGTGACTGAGAAAGTAAAAAGGTGAAGAAGTGCAGTCTACATATCGGAGGAGTCCACATAGGAAATGAAAAAGGTTCAAAAGCCTGTCATAAATGTTCACGCAAGGAGATACGAATCATATAAAAGGGTGAAGAAGTGCAGTCTACATATCTGAGGAGTCAGCAACAGCAAGAGTAGCTTCAGAAATCTAGGCCCTGCTTGGATTGGATTTGAGAAAACAGTTTTCTGGTTTCATAGTGACAAAAAACAAGAGACTGTATTTTACTTCTGCTTAGATCCATTTTGTGGAAACAGTTTTTGAAAAACTGAAAACTGATAATTACAGATTTTAGAGAACAATAAAAAGGTGTTCTCACGATTCTTGAGTTATGATTCTCACTTTTTAGGAAACACGGAGAACATCTCATACTTAAAAAAATCACGTTGAAGGGCGTCGTTTAAAACATCATCGTCCTAACCTTATCAATTTTTCCATCTGAGTCGTACACTCCTCCTCCTCTATCTTCTCTTTCTATGCGTAGAAGTGTTCTCAGTTTGGATCATCGAAGTAATCCAACCTCATCAAGAAGCTTCTCCGGGTCGTTCCTCACTCTCTCTCTAACAGAACATAACTCAGCTTTTTATCCAGATTTCTTCGTCGATTAGATTTCATCTTCTCTGGATTTCTCACTGGTGTTGGGCTAGCGATCGACTGGTTTAAAGACACTCTTTCAGGTAATCCATCTCTCTCTCTCTCTAACATTATGTAGGTTTTCTTGGTTGGATCGATGGATTCGATTTGTGAAATTTGTGGTGGATTTGGTTGGTTGGATGGATTTGGGTGTGGATTTGTTTGTCTAATACTTCTTATTTGGGTTGAGGCTTGATTGATTTGCTTTCGTTGGCCGGATTTGGTTGTGGAGAAGTGGATTTTATGGTCTGATTTGGGTTTTCTTTCAAACCCCTAATTTATTTATTTTGCTTTTATGAGGGAGGTACAAAATTGGATCAAATCTTTTCATCTCCCCATGGTTAATCTAGTTGACACCAAATTGAAATCTAAGAATTTTCTTAAAATTTCTAATTTGGTTAACAAGTCTTGCACAAGAAATGTTTAAAATCCTAAAAATAAATATATAAAGTCACACGGATAGCCTACTCTACCTTGCAAAGAGCAGGCTCTTTCCAATTTGATGGAATTTGACGAGTACTATAATGTTTTTAGCTACTGTTTGGGCACTTGGGGTTCTTGAACAGTTTTAGAATTTTAATGGGGTTTTCATTAATTATTTTAACCTGTAATCAAGGTCTTTAATTGCATAAAATACTCCTTTTGTGTTAATGGAATTAATAATACGTTATTTAACAATTATGCGTACGGTTAACGACTGGAAGGTAATTAATTATCTAGTTTAATTTGACACTTTAAGATGCTATAACATGATTCTAAATTAGGTTTTAGATGCACGGTGGAGTCTTTTAATTAATAAATTGGACTTGGGGCATAGGGTATGGCTCCGTATAAAAGGATAAAACAGAATACGAGTATAACACTTAGTATGCTGTTACCGGATGGAAATAACTAAATTGCTTAAATTAATTTAGCAATTGCTTGGATTATAACATGATTATGAAACTGGTTTAAATGCATGATAGAGTTGTTGATTTATTAAAACTGATCTATGCATGCTTTGGATGTTGGTTGTTGAACTATTACACCGTTTCTTGCAAATACATGGTTTAGATCTTGGATTTAAATTGCTGAAATTTTAATTACTTTTCTGCAATGGTATGAATATTTGGTTTAGGACTGTAAATTACTTACTTATTATTTATATATTGTAATTTACACGGATATGGAGGATTGTATGCACCAGTATGGGACGTTGACATACTAGGTATGGTTTAGCTCAAAACGCTAATTCCTACCTTATGGATTTTAATTGCTGAACAGTTTTACCTGTTCTATCAATTATATGGATTTTGTAAATTGTATGCACCGGTATGGGACGGTGGCATACTAGGGACCGACTGATTCAAAATACTCAGTCCTACCTATTTTGGAATAAGGGTGCGAATTATAAAAACATAATTCTCCTTATATTTAAGTTTGTGCGGTTGAATAAATTGAACGACTTATTGAATCTCTTGTATAAGTCTGTGTAGGTGAATAAGCTGAACGATTTATTGGATTTCCTCTAGATGGATATGTATGGATTTTAAATATATTTTTATGGTACCATGAGATGAGCTTGAGTCTCAGGCTCGTTAGTTAGGGTGCGTATATGCAGTAGAATGCGTAGCTGGATATGAGAGGTTGAGGTGTACCCTGTTAGGTCTAGGTACTCATGCCCACCTATGGGTGCGTTTTCGCATGTTCCCTTCTATTCAGGTTGAGACCCTCTCCATAGTCCAGTGAGAGTCCTGTAGTGTGAATATACATATCTACAGACTATTTAGTTATTGTTGAGTTGGTTGGAATGTATATGCGTATCGAGTCTCTGCTTGGATTGTAGTAGGTTAGAACTTGTTCGTGGGCCTGACCTACCTCTATTTTTTAGGTACTTGTCAGTTCCAGACTTAGACTTGATAGTGCTGAGCGGAGACTACTACTCACTCTTCCGACGACGTAGGACTTTCCTCCATGGTTTACTCTGGATATTCTTTAAGTAGCTTCCATTACAATTTGGATTATTATTAGGGGTCCATTAGAGATGGATTCCCGAGTTGTATTAGAATTGGAGAAATTGGGTGTATCAGACTAATTATTTATTTATAAAATTTTATTCTGAGGTTTCTAGTTTTGGTTTATCATTCTAGTTTCTTTTCAGCAATTTATTTATTCCTGTTTTCTTAATTATATTTTGTGTTCGTTTATTGCTAATTGATTTGATATCCTTGTGTAATCGGGTGTGGGCCTGGCCAACCCGCATCCGAAAATCCGGGGGTATCACAGTGTGTGCCCAGGATTATTGAAAACTTCTATTTAGTGGTTGGACTTAGTGCAATGGTAAGATTGCTCCATTACAAAATGTCTACCTTTTTATTTTTGGCTGAACCAAAATAAATGTTTCAATTAGAAAGTCAAAGTTCTATTTTTTTTTTTTTCTGTCTTAGTGGTAATGGTGGGTTGGGTGATTGTTTTCTCTTAGATATAGGTTCACTTTTCTGTCTTAGTGGTATGTTGTTTGTTAAGCTCTATAGCTTCTTGCAATTGTCACACACACTATAATATCAATAACCATCTTCAATTGTCACACACACACACTAGAATATCACCTCTGTAGCTTCTTGCAATTGCCACACACACTCTGTAACTTCTTGCAATTGTCACGCACACACACTATATATATATATTTAAACGCACACAGTTGATTCACCTTTTTGCAATTGTCACCTTCTTCTCAAACATCCAATTTCAGTTCAAATTCTATTGACATGCCCTACACTTGAATATATATATATACACACACACACACACACTAGAATATCAATAATTTATCTTCCTAGTTGCTAAAAAAAATAATGGTTGTCCCAAGATGCAAATACTATCATATTAAAGCTTGTTTGATTCTTACTTTCTTTTTTTTTTCAAAAAAACTATTCTTCAATTTTTTAGTTTAATTATAGCACATCAACTTTATTTTGTCTAGGTTCTTGGAAAATCAAGATGGACATAGATTGGAGTGACATGTCGTCTTCATCGTCTAGTGATTCAGATGAAGATTTTGATGACCTTGTAGATTGTATGTATTTGAATTTGATGCAGGAGTATGAAGATTCCTTTAAATCCAAGGTACCAAAAAGAACTTCGGGGTTAACAGATCATGAGTATGTTCAGGAATTGTTGAATGACCATGCTGCTTGTTTGATAGTGCAGCACAAATGGGAGCCCTTAGAACTCATCTGACAAATCAAATGTGGGCATCATTCAGAGGCAATGCTAGATGAAGTTATTTTTATAATTCTCCAATGTTTTGCTTTGATTACCTATTTGTGTAATTTTCTAATATTTTGTTTCGGTTATGTATGACTAAAATTAATGTTTGTACAACTAAAAGTATATATGACACTTGAAGTAATTAATGTAACTCTTTTATTGTATTTTAATTTAATCAAATTTTAATTAAATTTGATATATTGTATTTGTACAACTTTTATTAAGTATACTTGCTAAAATAAATTCACTTCCAACACTTATTTAAAATATATATATATATATATATTTATTTATTTATTTATTTATTTACATTAATAATTAATATCTTCATTTAAAGAAATAAAAAAGTGATGTACAATATTTTTATTTATTTTCTTAGTTTAGAAATTTATTTTCAAAAACTCATACAACTAAGTAGTTTTATAAGTTTTTGTTTTCTGGAAACTGTTTTGTAAATTCTCTTAACTAAGCAGGCTTGAAATCTGAAAAAAACTAAAAACTGTTCTCTGAAAATTGTTCTTGAGAATTGTTCTTGAGAATAGTTTTCATAAATCCATTCCAAGCATGGCCCTAACTTTCCCATCTCTTTCGTGTCATACTCAATGTCAAGTCTCTGCTGCTGTGCTAGCAAGATATTTGTTCTCATTAGGGGAAAAATCGCATAACCCCCCTCTACTACTTTTATTTTCGATCAAATTGCCCCCACTAAAATTAAACGCCCCCCTCAACTATAAATCGTCATCACATTGCCCCCTTTCCGTTCAAACCCGTTAACCTAGCGTTTGAGTAGTAGCGCGTGACCAACATGCGCTTATCAAAAAAACATTTCCCTAAAATACCCCTTCCCTGTCCTCTTCTGTGTTATATTATATATATATAAGAGTGTGTTGTGTACTGTATATATATAAGCGTGTGTTGTGTACAAAGGAAAGGGACAAATACACCCATAAAATATAATCTGAAATTTAAATACAAAATAATTGTTATTTTGAAGCCATCATCATCAGTCCAATAACATCAAAACCTAAAACTCCAGTTGCCAAAACCCTAATTCCCCTAACCCCAAGTCTGACACCACCTGTTCCATTGAAGCCACAGAATTAAACTCACTAACTGAAGACCCTAACCCTAGATTGAATTGAACTAAATCGAATCGAATTGAATTAAATTGAAGTTCTCGAATTCCAGAATGAAGAGAGAGAAAGTAGAGAGAGAAAGTGGGAGAAGGAGAGAGAAAAAAAATACTCTAATACCCAGTTGGAGATTCAACATTAAATCGTAATTTTTATGCCCTTTTGATATCGTCTGACCAGGTTTCTTCACCAAATAGGGGTGACCACATGCACCACGGCTTCTACAACCCCAATGCCACCGTCTCCATCTCGATCTGAAACTCTCCAATTTGCCGAAAATCATATATATATATATATATATATATATATATATATATATATATATATATATATATATATACACACACACACACACACACATATACAAAATATATATAGCAAATGTATGGAACTCTGTTACAGATGAATCACTGCGCCGAGAGAGAACATCAAAGTCCAGAGCTTCAATAGTCAATGATTTAATTAAGATTTATTTCATGATTATCTCAGTTTGTGTATATGGAAAATATTAGTTTTTCTTGCAACCATGGCCGTCATTAAAATTGGTGGAAACAGAGCGACGAGGTGGAGTGATTGGTGCTGGAATCGACTGGAAATCAATCTCCGGCCAAATTCCGGCGTACATCATCTCCCTTGCTAATCTCAGAAATTTTGACCTTTTTTGGAAGCTAATTAACAATCGCACAACGGCACACCCTTCGCAAAATTGAAGGAATGAATGATACAATATTAATATATATATATATAGAGAGATAAACGATTGAGGGAGAATCATGTAAGTTGAAATCTCTTATATATACATATACAAAGATAGCAGAGAAGACTTGTACCCCTCTCTCTCTCTCTCTCTCTAAAAATACCCATGAAAAAAAAATATATCATCTGTATTCTATTGCGATTCTGAAAAAGACCCACAATTGAAGACATTAATTAACTCTCTAACATCTGTATTTATATTGCGAATCGATCTCCTCGGGAAAGTAGATGTTTTCCTCAATCTAATTGCTTCTAACTGTAATCTAATCTTTGTCCCACCAATCAGGCGCCTGATTATGTTTGCCGGAAGATCGGAAGAGGAACCCATGTGGTTCAGATTCCGGTGAGGTTTCAAGTCTTTCGACAAAGGGTTTGGTGGGAGACAAAGGGTTGAAAAGGGTGGGTTGTTATAATACGACTGCGTTTTGTTGCCTCTAAATAATACATTTCTTTTGTATTTAAATTTTATATAATATTATGGGGGGTATAGTTGTCATTTCACGGCAGGTTAATGGGTTTGAACGGAAAGGGGGCAATGTGATGACCGTTTATAGTTGAGGAGAGTGTTTAATTTTAGTGGGGGCAATTTGATCGAAAATAATAGTAGAAGGGGGTTATGCAATTTTTCCCCTTCTCATTAATATCTATGACCCAAAAGAGAAAGAGAGAGGAACAGACACAGAGTGATCGAGAGCGCGCGAAAAAAAGAGAGCAGGTAGATAGGCAGTAGTTGTCGACATTATTGTTATTTGGAATTCCAGCAAAACTTTGTGCAGAGAGAAAAAGAGAGGGTTAGATAGGTAAAATGGGTAGTAGTCATGATTCAGAAATTTTGAACTTGGATATACATATGGAATCATTCAATGCCGTAGCCAGGGAAAAGTCGGGGCAACTGTCCCCACTGAATTTTTAATTTTTTAAAATTTTGTATAATTTTTTTTTTATATTTGTATTGTTGCTCCCCTCTAAAATAAATTTGACAATGGACACATAATATACCATATATATATATATAACTAAAAGCCCATTCACGATAGAAATATAATCGTGATATAATTATAAATATATATAATATATCTATCAATTTATACTTTTCCAAAGTATTATATTTTTTACCACTTTTCCAAAAAAAAAATTCATCAAGATATTTTATTACACTTTTTAGCTTTACCATAAACAAATGGATTATTTTCATCACATCTTCGTCTTTGACATTTTCCAGAATCCAAATAAAGCAAGCGGAGCAACCATTTACCAATACACAGAGACTTAGTCAATCGTACTGCAGTGCAGCAAACAGGTAATTTAATATATATTTTTTTATCATCTAAATTTATTGTAATGACCCGGTCATTTCTTTCCTTTCCTTTTGCCTTAGAATTTTACAGACGAAATTTTTTCGTTGAAATTTCTTTTCTAAGTTCAGTTTCTCGTCGCTTAGTGGCGTCTTAAGTGCTCGGAAATGGTTTCTAAAATTCTTTTTTTTGGATTGACAACTTCCTTTGAGGACCGAGTCATTTCCACATTTTTCCTTTTTTTATCACTATTTACTTTTCGTCATTTTTCCTGTTTTGTCCTCTTCCCTATTTTGTCTTTTCCCCGTTTGTCACTTTGTTGGCATAATCTCACTCCTTGTGTTCGAAGTTGGTTTTTGACTTCACGTATCTTCATCCTAAGTGGTTTCCACAAAATACGTATCTTTAATGTAATGACCCGGTCATTTTCATTCCTTTCCCTTTCCTCAGATTTTCACGGATATTTTTTTTTCGTTGATCTTTTTCCTTTCTGAGTTCAGTTCCTCGTCTCTTAGTGTCATCTCGAGTGCTCTAGAGTGATTTCTGAGACTCTTTTCTATGGATTGACAACTTCCTTTGAAAATCGAGTCAATTCCACATTTTTCGTTTTTCGACACTATTCACTTTTTCTCGTTTCCCTATTTTGTCTTTTTTCCTATTTCGACTTTTCCTTGTTGTCGCTCTGTT